GAAAAAATTGTATCTATCTGTTATTGTGCCATGTTGCTTAAAGAATATTTCACATTTTTGGACATAATATTTCTCTAATTGTTTGAAATTTCACAGCATATGATATTGATCGGTATGCTGAAGGTGACTGATAACCTTTATAAGTGGGATGTTGCGGTTGACATTCAAATCTTCACAACATAACTTTACGATATCATTGCTAATTTTCAAGTTTATTTCAATTTTTTATATTAAAGTTTAAACGGAAAGTGATGCAATTAATAAATGATTCAAAATTTCCGCATAATTTGTCGCGCAAAATGTCTGGGGAAAGATGAGTAAGTAAAGGAAAAATATGGAATAAAAAAGTTGTAATTGCCATTTCCCTTTCTCATCCTACTACTTTTACCTTTCACTTTTCTTTTCTCTCTCTTTCTCCCCCCTTTGTTACCTCTCTTTTTGTATTCTTACAATATCACCGATCATCATACATTATTATGGATCAATTCAGTGTATGATTGATAACGATAGAGTAAAGGAAAAAAAAAGAGAAATAGTATGTATTAATTATAAAATTTCACCAACATCAAAACATAGATTTTAAGAGTTAATATGAAAAATTATTTTAGTGATAAAATTAAAAGAAAAAGACGAGAATACTATCCTATCAATAAGAAATATTATTCCAAAACTATTAAGCTTTAACAATGCGAAGTCCATATGTAGCACCATATCCTGAAATGTTTACCTGTTTGTATTCATTTTAAATTAAAACTCGAAAAATAAAAACAAATTAAAAGCCACTATCATTCTTCATCAATTATTTATTGATTTATTTATTATTTACTAACTTATTTGTTACTTATTTTATCAATTTATTTATTTATTTTATTCATTTATTTATTCATTTAATGCAGTCAGTACCTAACAAAAGATGCGTCTATGTGGTATATATATATATATCATATATACATATATGTGCGTGTGCGTATGTGTGTGTGTGCATATATATGTACATGTATGTGTCTGTGCGTGTGCATGTGTGTTTATCGTGTTATTTATCGGTGTTCATGTAATAATTTACTTTTAAAAAAAAATGTGTTAATGAGATTTGCGATAGTTTCATTGAAATAATATACCATGCTTTGCGCCACTGACGACAACCAAAGGGTCACCGTCATGTATAACATTTTGCTCTTTACCACATTTTACAGCATATCGAATACGATCATATAAATCTTCTCTTCCATCCGTATTTATTGCTAAATTTATTGATTGTTTCATTTCAAGTTTTATTAAATTGCAACTTTTTTAACCCATTCAATTCTTAATTTCAAATTTTTCTTTCCATCTCGTTTTTTTTTTAAATTTTATAAAGTGAAGAGTTTGTACCATTTTTATTTTAACATAATAATAATACAGCAAGTTGGATGATAACAGCCTATCATTTGAAGTTAATTCATCAATTTCAAAAATTTTAATTTTTCCATTTAAAAAATTGAGAAGATTTTAAGAATTAGAAAAAGAAAAAATTCATTATGCAGAAGAAAATTGATTGGTAAGTTTTAAAATAAACCTTCAAAATATATAGGATAGATGCCACGCCATAAATGAAGTTGTCTTCTGATAGCATAATTCGTACATACGGCATAAATAGGTACAGGAGGCCGATATCGCGAAACCAAAGTTGCAGCCCTGAAATTAAATATTATTAAATATTCTTTAAAAATTTAGTTTCCAGAAGTTATCATCCATCACGAAATGATTCACTGCTTACTTTTTGCTTTTAATTTTAACGAAGTTTAATTTTTTTTCTTGCAAATCTTTATAACAAACTTTAATTTTAGATCTAAATTACAGCTATGAAATTAAATCTATTTCATTTTTTTCCTTTTTTGTGATAGAACAATTATTTAAACAAAAAATTATTCCCGATAAATATGTTAATTCGCAAACAAATGATAGACGTTAATATGCCTAATAGAAAAAATATCCTAAATTATTTGAAATCACTTTGATCAAATCAAGAGAGTAACTAACTTACCATCAATTGGATTAGTTTAATCACCGATATTATAACAGTCTTTTTGCATTCTGATAATTTAACTAATTCTTATCATACAGAGATATATTTAACCTTCCGCTAACAGTGATACAAATGACAGCTACAGCTTCCGATGATTGTACGGCGGAATTTGCAGCAATTGCAATCGTATGAGCATGATCGGTTGGTTTTGGTGTTAAACGTATTAGCTCTTCTGATGTTCTCGTATAGAAAATTGCCATTTCTGCTTGTTTACAAAGCTAAAATGAGTAAAATTTAATAAATTACTAGCAATATTGGTATGTAATGTATACATATGCAAAATTTAATTATTTAATTTCAAAAGTAAAATTTAGAAACGTAAAAAAATTGAAAATTTTGAGAAAAAAAGAAAACGAAGAAACCTGATGCATTGTTAATAATGCTTCAATTGGATATTTTCCCTTAGCTGTTTCTCCACTTAACATTACACAATCAGCACCATCCAAAACAGCATTTGCTATATCGCTACCTAAATAAGCTTTATATATTTATTTCTTCATTAACTGTCACATTAATTGTCAATTGTCATATTCATGCAACAAAATTAGCAAGAGTAATAATTGATATTTTGTTTCATCGAGTTTAGCCCAAAATAATGAAACTACAAAAAAGAAAAGAAAAAAGACAGAAATCAAATGAATGAAGAGAATTGTAAAATTTAACTTTGAATAGAAATTTAGTTTAGTTTAAAAAATAATAATCAGAGAAGTATACCTTCAGCTCTAGTAGGTCGTGGCTTATAAACCATCGATTCAAGCATTTGTGTAGCGCAAATAACCGGTTTACCAGCTATATTACATTTAGCTATAAGCATTTTTTGAACGAGAAATACTTTCTCAGGCGGTATTTCAATGCCTAAATCACCGCGTGCTACCATTATTCCATCTGCTTCACGAATAATTTCATCAGCACTAGGAAAAATTTTAAAAATTCATAATAATTTTTTAAACGCTTACAGTTCTTGGCTGCTTCCTTTTTCTTTTTTTTTTAACTCTAATAAAGTTCAACTTCAATATTTCAAGTTGAAATTTTGTCGGATCTATTAACAGTATTATCAGCCAAAAAAAAAAGCAAAATATGTACAAAGTATTGATAGTAATTATATATTAATGAATTAAGACTGGACTGCTATGGATTACGAAATAAAAGTTAAAATAGAACGCTGAAATTATTTTCGAAAAAATGATGCAATGCAATCATATGATCACAGGACATATATGATTATACGATCATGGAAATTATTAGGAAAAGAAAACCTACTGCTATAATGTTCTCTCTATTAATTCATGTAGAAATTTATCAGTTATGTTATGTGGTTTAATTAAATTAAAATTTGTTACTTATCAACTCCCTGTTGATTTTCAATTTTTGCAATGATTTTAATCTGCTTTCCTTTTTCACCAAGAATTTGACGTATTTCACGAATTTCGGTGGCATTTCGAATAAATGATGCAAAGATGATATCAATATCCTTAAAAAAAAGGAAGAAAAGTAGAAAGTAGTTTTTTTTATTAATTATTACCATTTGCATTAAATTTCGAACTGCCATTTGTTGTCATTTAAAATTCGTTTTTACAGAAAAAAAGCTACCAGATTTTCATTGTCCAATAAGATTTATCCAGGACTTAGGTCACGCCAAAAGCTTAAATCCTCTATTTTTATTATGAAGGATTGAAATTATTTCTTAAAGAGTAACTAACCATTTCAACAGCAAAACGTAAATCTTTATGATCTTGTTCGCTTACAGCCGGAAAATCAACCAATGCTCCCGGTAAATTTACACCTTTCTGACTTCCCAATAAGCCACCATTCTCGATCTTACAGTAAATTGATTCACCGTCTGTAAAACACCGTTGAAAATACCTTTTAACAAAAATATCAGATCTTTGAGTGAATGGATCCATAACTATTTTTATAAATATAAAAAATTTTTCATATGCTCAAATAAATGCTTTTTTTGAGGTATAAGTCGATTAAGGCATTAAAAATTGCTTTTTGTAAATGTTAATGAAACTTAAATTTAAGCAATTTAATTAACTTAGGAAGCAAATACTTATTGGAATATTTAACTATTTACTATCCATTTGAATAATTTAATTACACTTATTAACGATTAACCATCGAAGACAAATTCCCTTCTAGTAATTTTTCATTTATTTATCATTCATCGAAATATTTATGCTTATTATAATGAAATTTGTCGATTATATCAATCAATTAATTCAAAAATTAATTATCTAATGCTACTCTTCAAATACTTCAATGTTAATGGCCAACTAATTTGATAACATTTAATAGATATTTTGATGATATCGATGATACTTTTCAAATATTTTATTGATATTTATCAAAAAAGTATCTTGAAACACCTAATAAATTCATATTTACCAAATCAGTTAGATGGATTTTTAATGTTTTGACAACACTTTTCAATCTATTTATTGACATTCATTAAATTGTTTATTGTCAACTAATCAAATATCATTAATTTTATGAGTTTTTTTTACGATATTAAAGGTGTGATATGCATATTTTCGAAGTGTCAATTTGATCTTATTTTATCAAAACAATATAAATCGACAATAATTTGAAATATTTCTTAAAAAAATACTTTCGTAGCTTCTTTTAAATAAGTGTATATTTCGGAAAGTATTGTTGAAACAGTAATAACAAACATTATTCTAATTATTGAGAAATAAATAATTCATCAAAAAAAATGAGATTTTTCTTGAAATTCACAAAACTTACCAATTTCTTGAACAAGAAGCATTATGAGTCCATCATCAATATAAATGATAGAACCTTTTTTTATCACTTTGATAATATTCTTGTAATCAACATATATTATGTCCGTGGAACACTTTGACATAAATGCATCATTTGATGTTACAATCACATCATTACCATTTTCTAACATTACTTCATCCTTTTCTCCCTATAATTTTGCCCATTAATTTTAACAGAAATGTCGCGATACGATAAACAGTACTAATTAATCTGGTATCACTAATTAATCCAATATCTTTTGATATCAGGTATAGTTTATTATCAGACAGCAATAAATATTATCAGTAATAGTACTGATTATTTGTAATATAAACCAGTATGAGAATATTAACTGTACATAATTATTAATTAAGGTTACAAAAATATTGAGGTTTGTACAAAAGTAGTTGCAAGTTTGATATTGTAACGTTAGCGCTTTATATTAGCAAATGTGACAACTATGTTATATGTCACTTTTTGCTTTATGCTTTTTTTTTATTAAGTTGTTTATTTAAAAGTTCAAAATATGTTATAAAGTAGCGAGAACAACTATTAACATCAACAGTATATTTGGCATATTTGGATTTATTAAAGAAAGTAATTTGTTATAATAAAAGGTTGTTTGCTTCAGGCAGTTTGATGACGAATATGAGAGAGGTCAAGACCATTAATATTGGTCACAAAAAGTTGACAAAGAGCAGCGAAGAACAATAAAACCATCTTCCGTAATTGTAAGTGAAGAATTCAACATCCATCATTTTATGATCGATTCACATATGAGCAAATCGGAAAGATTGCAAAATTCATCAAGTGGATACCTTATGAGATAATCGATAATTTTAAAAAAAAATTGTTGTCTTGAAATGTATCATTCTCTGTATTTTATGCAACGACAACGAATGGATTGTGTCGTGTGACGAAAAGTACACCGCATGCGATAAATGGTAATAAATTCCTTAGTGATTTGATAAAATAAAAACAGTAAAGCATTTTACAAAGGCCAAAGATGCATTAAAAGACACTCATCTACTATTACTGAAGCTTTCAGAATCCTGATAAAACGATAACACCTAATAAGTTTATTCAACCAATTGAAATCTACCATAAACTGAAATGTCTGCAATCAGTCCTCTCAGAGCAATCCCCGAGCTGGTATCGAGGCTAGGTCCTTTTCATATCGGTGTCTGGTATCATCACGGTCAGGTGTTTTCCAGCGTACTTGATTATAGGTTTCAGAAATTCACTGTATCTACCTAACTTCCAGTCAATTATCGCCACTTCTTTAGTTTTTCTGATAACTTTTGGTAACAAAAATGCTTCAAGGACCAGCAAAACGCAAAAAAAAAAGTGCCTTCCAAAAAATTATCAAATACGAAACGATTGATTTCTCCATGCTATTGAAATAAACAAACCTATCACATGTTAGCAAAAATATTACAACTGTTATGATTTTTAATTTAATTAACAAAGATTTTCTTGATCTTAATTGTAATAATTAAAAATTTACACGTCCGAATGCGTAATCACTTTATCAAATAACCTAATGGAATTATAAATTCCTTAAGAGTGTATCCTTAAGATGTATTATTCAGCAGATTACTTTAAACTTTAAATCTATCAAGCTATCACTGCTCATATCAAATCACACACACAAAATTGGATAATTAATAATTAATAATAATAATAATGATGATAATAATAATAATGATTAATAATAATAATAATAGTGAAAAAAACATTATTATTATTATTATTATTGTTATTATTATTATTATTATTATTATTATTATTATTATTATTATTATTATTATTATTATTATTATTATTATTATTATTATTATTATTATTATTATTATTATTATTATTATTATTATTATTATTATTATTATTATTATTATTATTATTATTATTATTATTATTATTATTATTATTATTATTATTATTATTATTATTATTATTATTATTATTATTATTATTATTATTATTATTATTATTATTATTATTATTATTATTATTATTATTATTAT